AACCTTAACCCGAAAAATTTGCATCCTTACCATTGCAGTAGCAACATCCTTGAGGGAGTTGGAAAAAGTCTTTTGAAAACAAATATTAAGAGGGTTTATGAATATGCCCTTTATATATCAAATGTAATTTTGTAAGGAAAGCTTTTATGAATATGACCTATATTAGTCAAATGTAATTATGTAAGGAAAGCTTTTATCGACTTATATATGATTTTTGCATCTCTCTCAGAACATGTCTATAGGGCTGAATGTGCATGCCTCACGAATAGTAGGTGATTTGGAGGAATTATGAAACCCTCTATCATAACCAACATATTTAGGTTGAATATAATAGTAAATAATACAGTATATGTTAACTTTCAACTTTCTGTCATATGCCAATTTATGTATCACTAGCTTATGGGATTCCATTAATGCAATACTTGGTTTAAAGGAAAAGGTAGGGAAAGGAAGGGAAATTTAGGGAAACTTATATAAGGTTTGTAAAGGTTTCCCTACATTTCCCTTCCTTTTCCTACTTTTTCCTTTAAACCAAACACAACCTCAAAGTAAAGGTGGATGGTGAAGATGCGACCAAATCCAAAGGTTGGTATCCCTATTAGATGATATGGGTGAATTATAGCATTAATTCACATGACAAAAGCAGGTGGAGTCATGTAACAAGCTTTCCTACTTGGCCTGATTAAGAGATCCTTATAATATTACTGATATTATTGGACTGGTTGCCTACATTTTCTAGGTCTAACTTGAGTGGTCCTCGGTTCAATCAATTGGTCAGATCACTTAGAAAATGGTTGGATTTTACTTAACACATTTTAGAGAGAGAGAGAGAGAGCTTTCTTGGCAATTGAATGGGTTGATGATTGTGCTAAGGATCAACTAATATAGGGAACCTTCTTGAGCTTTAACATAGATGACCTATTTGAGCCCATAATAACCTACAAATTATAGAGTTTTTATTGAGTTTGAATTGGACCCAGAATCAATCTATCACATTAAAATATCGCTATTTGTTATTAATTTATTTATTTATGTAGGTTGGCCAGGGCCTCTAACAAATGGTCTCTCTCACTTCAATGACAACATAAAGTCTATCCAATGGTTGGGAGTATTCTAAACTAACACAAGTCTCATAAGTGTTTAGTTTAAAGGGTAATTTCATAGAAACATACAATGACAACATGAAACAATAATGGACTTTTATTCATTTATAATAAATGTATCTATACATAAATTTATTGGAGCTAAGGACATGCATTGTCTAACAGCTCTTACTTGCACTTAGGTCCAATTGGGTACAAGCCTCAGTCCAATACTGTCTACGTGTTTCTTAAACACTTTATGTGTCAATAGCTTAGTCAATGGGTCTGCTGCATTCTCCGCCGATGCTACCTTATGAATCAGGATGTCCCCTCTACCAACAATCTCCTGTAGTATGTGATACTTCCTCTCGATGTGCTTGGACTTCGAATGGGCTATTGGCTCCTTAGCTTGAGCAATGGCTCTAGTGTTGTTGCACAACAGTGAAATGGGTGATGTGTTGGATGAAACAACTCCTAATTCGTGGATGAACTTTTTCATCCATATTGTTTCCTTGGCAGCCTCACTTGCGGCAGTGTACTCGGCTTCAGCCGTGAAATCTATTATGGACCCTTGTTTGTTGCTTTTCCAGCTAACTACATAGGACCCCATTGTAAAAATGTAACCAAATGTAGACTTTATATCATCTGGGTCAGATTGGAAGTCGACATCAATATGCCCGACCATCTGTAGTGAACTACCATCGAAGACAAGACAATAGTCTTTAGTCCTCCGTAGGTATTTGAGTATGTTTTTCACAGTAGTTCAATGCTCCTGTCTTAGGTTTGACTGGTATCTACTTACCACACTAATGGCCAAATAAATGTCTGGCCGAGTGCGCAACATGGGATACATGATGCTCCTTACAGATGAGGCATAGGAAACCTCTTTCACGCCCTCAATCTCCTTAGGGGTCTTAGGTCACATTCCTTTGGAGAGAGTGACCCAATGACTGAAAGGAACGAACCCTTCTTGGAGTTTTCCATGTTGTACCTGTTGATGATCTTATCAATGTAAGTAGATTGTGATAATCCTATTATCTTTTTCGATATATCTCTATAGAGTCAAAGTCCCAA